GGCTGACACTCTTTCCACTGAGCCAAACCAGTTAGGGCTCATCTTCAATTCTTTAGGAGCTCTATCTGGTTGCTCTAGTTAATAAAGATGCCTCTTCTGCCCGTCCAGCATGGCTCAGGGGTTGAGCATTGACCTATGAACCAGGAAGTCACGGTTGATTCCCAGACAAGGCACATGCCCAGGTTGCAAGCTCGATCCCCAGTGTGGGGCGTGCAGGAGGCAGCCAACCAATGATTCTCTCTCATCATTGATGTTTCTATCCCCCTCTCCTTCTCCCGACCTCTCTGGAAAAAAAAAAAAAAAAAAAAAAAAAAAAAGATGCCTCTTTTATGAGCATCCACAGAAATTTGGGCAAAGCTTATAGCACTCATCAATCACTCTGTATTATAGTATAGAATTTATTTACACAGCTCTCTTAAGAGGTTAGGACAGGGACCATGTGAATTTGGGAAGTTTTCAGCCATTATTTCTTTGTATACTTTTTGGGCCTTTTCCTTCTGCAACTCTGATAACACAAGTGTTATATCTTGTTATAGTCCCACAGATCCCTGAGGCTCTGTTCATTATTTTATTTATTTATTTTCTGTTCAGATTGGGTAATTTCTATTGTTCTGTCTGGAAGTTCACTGATTCTTTCCTCTATTCCTTCCATTCTGATGTTGAGCCCATATACTGAGCTTTTAATTTGGGTTATTGTATTTTTTAGTTATAAAATTTCCACTTGGTTCTTCTTTGTATATGGATTATTTTCTGAAACTTCCTATTTCTCTGCTGAGACTTTCTAGGTTCTCATTAGTTTCAAATGGGTTTATAATCGCCCATGGAAACACTTTTACAATGACTGCTTTAAGATCCTTGTCAGATCATTTGAACATCTGATTCATCTTAGTGTTTGCATCTGTTGATTGTCTTCTCGAAATCAATTTGGGATTATTCTGATTGTTGGTATGAGTGATTTTTTTTATTGAGATCCGGACATTTTGGGGATTATGTTATGAGACCCTGGATCTTATCTAAGTCTTGTGTTCAGCCCTTCCTGACATCACTGATGGGGAAAGGGAAAGCATTGCCTTGTACTGCTGGGCAGAAGTCCAGGTTCCCCACCCAACCTCGGCCGACCCTGGTGGAGGGGGAGGGTCTCCTTGTTACTGCTGGGTGTGGATGGGAGTTTAGGCCTCCATGGATACCACCCTGGCTGGGAGGTGCAGGAATGCCTCATTACTGCTCCCCACATTGTTTCCACTGACACATCCAGGGGTGGCCTTGTTACCCCTGGGCAGCCATGAATGTCCTGACTCTCCACTAGCTAGGTTTCCTCTGGCACCAACTCAGCAAGAAGGGGGAGTGGTGCCTCATTACTGGTGGAGGTGGCAGCCCAGGCTCCCCAGTGTGGTAGTGGCATGGTGGGGATTTAAAGTGCCTCATTACATGTAGCCTCCTGAGGGTGGAAGTCTAGGCTCCTGGTGGGTGTGGGTGTCTTGGCTTCTTCCTAAGTCCCAAAACGATTTGGACAACTGAAGTTTTTGTAATAAGTCCATAATAATCCGTATTTGGCTGTCTCCCCCACTAACCCTTACCCTATACTGTATCTAACATCCATGTGTTTGGACATCAATTGGACAATCTTTAAGACACTGGTAAGTATAAGAGCTAGTACACTTTTTAAAACATATTTTTGATCCTAATATAAAGGATAAGTGTTAGGGTCACCAATTTAATTATTTGATCAGACCTAACAATAAGTATAGTCCTATTTATAAGACTAGATAAATCATGACTCTATTATGTGACTTTTATTATCTGCATAGGTTTATGTGGCACTAACATTATAAATGAACTACATATTCCTACATGCTTCAGGTTAAATATTTAGTTGTTTAAAAGGAAGTTAAATTTATTTTCCAGTAATTGAAGGGCTGCTTCTCTAATATTGATGGTACTTACATAAGTATTAACATAATAGTGTTACAAATTATGTACTAATTAGTCCATGCACTGATTAGTCCATACCACTCAGCATGATACAAATTTTATATAATTTTAAAATATTGACTTATCATGTATATATTAATCTTATCAACTTGGTAAATTCAAATTACTCTCCCCAGTTCCTAGTGTATTAAGTTAGAATTATGAAACAAGAATCAGTACTAGGTGATAAAAACTTTAATTTCACAATAATGGAGAGATGTAGCAATGTTGGGTTATATGCCCTCCCGCCCCCCCCCCCCAAAAAAAGTAGATTAGGACCACCTAAGTGTTGGGCTCAAGCAGAGGTTGGGGAGAGATAGAGGAAGTGATTGGTAGAGTGGTGATTGATACATTTAGAAGCCAGAATGTGAAAGCTAAGATTTTAGAAATTCCAACCTTCCTATTTTCTTGAGGTCTTTGAGTGCATTATATGTCTGGCACTTTACTTACCTTATAGCATTTAATCTTCAAAATAGTGCTGTCAAGTGGCTATATTTTCTTTTTAACAGATGAGGGTAATTGCAGCTCAAAGTAGACTAACTTCTTGAAAGTCACTCAGCTATCAAGTAGTAGAGTTAGGATTCAAACCTAGACCTGTATGATTCCACAATCCACAATCCTTTGATTCAACCACTCTGCCTACTACATGGGTTTTCAGATTCACTTTTCATAGAAATAATTATAAAATCATTTCATTTCCTATTTCTCTCTCCAGTGAGGACCTAAACCTTCATACCTATTTTAAGTGCATTTATTTGACAGATTATAAACTATTTAAAAAAATATATATCTTTATTGCTTTCAGAGAGGGAGAGAGAAACATCAATGAGAGAGAATCATTGACCGGCTGCCTCCTGCATGCCCCACACTGGGGATGGAGCCCACAACCTGGGCATATACCCTGACCAGGAATCGAACCGTGACCTCCTGGTTCATAAGTCGATGCTCAACCACTGAGCCATGCCGGCTGGGGTATAAACTATTTGATATCTAAGAAATTACAGTGCTAGGACTTGTTATTGTATAAAAATTGTCTCATACTCTATGATGGAGGACGGATATCTAGTTGTGCTAGACAGTTTGGGCTTAGAGGGAAGTAACTTTCCCAAGGTCACGCCACCTGTGCAGAGTAAGGATTTGATCCAGGTCTGCTTGAGTCCAACCTACCTACTGCATACACTCAATGAAATTTTCCTGCTGTTACCTAGTAATGACTGTGTGTTGGGAAAGGTTTTGAGCGGTTGGGAGTGGGTAGCTTTATAATCCTTAAAAAGGGCCTTAGTCAAGAACCATCAACTCCAGGAAGACAGCCAAATAATGGCAGAATTTGTATCACTGGTTGTGCAAGTGTGTGTGTGTGTGTGTGTGTTGAGGGGAGAGAGTGCTGTCAAAACCTCCCCGGCTTTGAAGGTCATTATTTGTGACAAATTAACAATGCATGTGTTAATTTAGCTGTAGAAGATATTCAGCCCTCTATACTCACTCATTCAAATAAAATGGAACACCATAAAGAATGGAAGAGGTGTTTCAGAGAAAGTAATTAAACATGAAATATAATCCATATAAAACTACAGTTTGTTAGTCTAGTTACTAGTCACTGGGGAACAATTTAAAACTGTGTCCGTGTGCAAAATCAGTTGGGATTTCCATAGCTTCTCACTGAATACTGCTAGGATAACTGAGTCAGCATTAAATTGTCTTCCTTTTACTTTGAAATCCAAGTTAAAGATATATTCTGTATTGGTTATGTTACTGACATTTATGGGCCCATGTTTATAAATTCATATGTCCACTAATGAATCTTTTCCTTTCCCTGAAGACAAGAGGTGTGCCCTGTAACAGATCTATTATACGAGACATATCTTATTAAATGTCTTTCGAAGAGTAATGGATGGAAGGCACGTTTGCTTTTTCTCCTGATTATACTACGGATGGAAAACCAGACTAGCAGTGAATTCTCACTTGTATCGGAGACACGGTCGGAACAAGAAAGTGTTCCTGTTGTCTAAGGCATGGTGGGGTGGTGGTAAAGGCTTTTCTGGGTTGCAAACTACGATGAGGATCTTAATTCTGCTTTCTCTCTGACCCGTCCACAAGTAGCCCCCAGAGATCACAGTCACAGAAACCAACACTCTGGAGATCCCGCTTAACAAGTTCTCGTCGCCGCTTTTTTCTTACAAAACCGGAACGAACCACAGATAAAACGCAGGTGGCAAGCCCATCGGGCCCCAAAGTGCCGCCAACAGACCTTCGGCGGCGGGGGGCCGTGGTCTGGTGGGTGACTCTTCATTCCCTCCGGCCGGGGTCAGGGAGCCTTTCCCCCTTCACTTTCGGCGCGACCGAGAGGATCGGGGCCGAGAGCGTAGGCCCGGCCCGGGGCGGCACCTGAGCCGCGGGCAGGACACCGGCAGCCGCTCCCCGCGGGGGCCATGATTCCAGCGGTGCCAGGAGTGTCTGCCTTCCGCGGAGGGCGAAGGTCAGGGGCCGCGCTCCGGGACCCTTACCCGACCCCGGGGCACCCGGGACTCACGGCGCGCGGGGCTGCTGGAGCCGCGGGCTGGGCCCATCCCCGAGCTCCCGGGTCAAGGCGATCCGAGGCGTCCCGGCTCCAGGCTCGCGCCCTTCGCGGGCGCTGCCGGACCTCGCCCTTCCCCGCCGCTCCCCCGGCCACCCCCCAGGTCCCCTCTGGAGCCCGCCGCCGCTCCCGAGGTGACACGGCCCAGACCCTCCATTCTCTGCCCCAGTGTATTTAACGAGCGCAACCTACCAGCCGCTCCCTCTGGCGGACCACCCTTCCCCCTGACAGACGGGCCCAGGAGCCAATCAGAAGCCAGCATAGCCGTGCGTCCCGCTCCCCGTCGACGGCGGCCGGGGCGGGCGGGGCTCGGGCCGCTAGCAAGTTGCGTGGAGCCGCAGCTGACGTGAGTCAACAAAGGTCACGTGAGGCGAGCGGGTCCCCGCGATTGGCGGTCCTGGCCGGGCAAGGAGGGGGGGGTCACGACGGCGGCGTGGGGTTCGCTGTGTGACACAATTACAACAACTTTGTGCTGGTGCCGGGGAAGTTTGTGTCTCCACCAAATCCCTCCCGTGCCCCCAGCCCCGTGCGCTCCGGCCGCTCCCGCCGTCCTCGCCCGTGGCTGCCCCTCGCCCGCTCCCGCGATGTGACCCTCCAGCCGGGCCGCCGCTGCTGCCGACCCGGGGGCTCCGCAGCCCCTGCCGCCGCCGCCTTCACCGCCGCCGCGTTGGGATTTTTCGTCGCCGCCGCCCGCGGCGGAGGAGGAGGCGGCGATAAAGTTGGTGTGCCGGTCCCGCGCGGGGATTGGGGGCGTCGTTGCGGGCCCCGGCCCGGGGGGGTGTCGGCGTTGGAGTTGTGAATTCGCCGCGTTTCCATGAAATCCTGCGGAGTGTCGCTCGCTACCGCCGCCGCCGCCGCCGCCGCCGCTTTCGGTGATGAGGAAAAGAAAATGGCGGCGGGAAAAGCGAGCGGCGAGAGCGAGGAGGCGTCCCCCAGCCTGACAGCCGAGGAGAGGGAGGCGCTCGGCGGACTGGACAGGTACGGGCCGCGGGCCGCCGCCCGCTCGGCCCCGGACGGGCTGGCGCCGCTCTCCGGGGCGGCCGGGCGCGCGGCTCGCCTCTGGCGGCGGCGGGGCGGGCACCTCGGCTGGGCGCTCTCCGTGCCGCGGCCGCCGGCGGGGCCTCGGGCTCGGGCCGGGGCGGGTCGGTGGCGGCCCCGGAGCCCTTCACGAGCCGCGTGTGTGTCTCTCCCACAGCCGCCTGTTCGGGTTCGTGAGGTTCCATGAAGATGGCGCCAGGACGAAGGCCCTGCTGGGCAAGGTAAGGCAGCCGCGGGCCGGAGCGCGGACCCGCTCTGGGTGGCCGGCGCCCCGCTCGCCCCGCTCGCCCCGCTCGCCCCGGGGCCCGCGGCCGGGCCGGCGCTCATTGTGCCCCGAGCGAGGGCCGAGGGGCTTCCGGGAAACTATTTCCTGCCTCTGCTCGCCGGCTCCCTCGCCGGCTCCCGGGCGAAATCGCCCTCCGCTCGGAGCCGGAGGAGCGGGGACCGTAGCGCTTCGGGGCCGAGCCGAAGTGCGTCGGCAGAACTGCCGCTCCCCCAGCTTTTGCGGGGCTCGGACCGACGGTCTCCGAGGTGTCTGTTCGGGTGCAGGGATCGGAAAGGTGTGCACATTTCCCCCCAATTTCCCACTGGCTCGCCTCCCTGGTTTTGACTCCTTTCCTGCAGGTGGGCTGGTTCGGGAGATCTGCTGGCAGCCCAAGGTTTTGGGCTTTCCTGGCGCCCAGCTTCCAGAAGGGGGAAGTTGCACGTAGTTGAGGGCGGTGAGGAGTTTGCATGGGGCCGTTGACATGCATCTCGATTGCTCTGTGTTTTCACCTGAAGTTAGGTGACTTGTTTACTTTTTGGCTCTTTCTGCTCTGGAAACCCTGCAGTTCTCTGTGAATGTGTTCTCTTCCTGGAACCTCGTTTCCTGTGTGTCTGACAGGGGAGGCCGGAGGGGAGGGGGGGGCTCGGGGTGTAGTTTCTGTTTATTTGTGTGCAAAGTTGTGGGTACTGTCATTTAGTTAAGTAATGGCTGCTCCTATCGGCCCAAGATGGCGGGACAGGGTGGGAGGAGAAAGTGAAGGGGGGGGGTGGTTTAGGGGAGGGAGGAGAGGTAAACATGGAAATAAATAGTAGCGATGAATAGGCCTGTCTTTCGGAGTGTGTAGCTCGGTGGTATTCAATACAAATGATCCGAGATGATTTGCATATTGAATTCTTGTGCCTTTCTCAAGCTTGGAAGCAACATTCATAAGCCTGGTAAATGCTTATCAACCTGTAGCACATTTAGTTAACCTCCCGTAAGCTATTGAACAAAGGCTGTGGAGTCTCCATCTGCCTACATCAGTTTGTGTCTCCTGAGCAAAACCGGATTGAAATAATATTTGTGTTCTTTCTTCTTAATTGGGACCGTGAAACTTGGGAGTGTGTGAGATAGGTGTTGCCATTAGACATTTCTTTTCCTAGCTGAAATCGGTGGCTTTGCATTTGACATCTAGCTTTATTGTTGCAATTGACAAGAAAGTTTGAAATGACTAAAGCCTAGCATTTTATTCTTGAGGGTTTTATTTTAGTTTTTTAAAATTTATTTAGTTGTCCTGAATTTTTGTCTGTAGTTTGGTTTAGGAGAGTCACCGATTCCTTTTATCTGTTATTACGCTTTTGTTTTTGTTTCAAACTACTACATATAAAGGGTTTCAGTCATAATGACCAGAAAGCTAAACAGAAATAATCCTTTTCAGTAAGTCCAGTTCCTTTGACCCATACAGATAACTTGAATTAAACTGACTGTGTAGGTATTAATTGGCTTCATTATCGCTGGAAAAATGAACACTGACGAGCTCTGAAATGATTTTAAGCATCAGTGATTTAAGCCTTGAAAAAAATTTTTCAATATGAGTATTTAAAATATTTTATTTAAAAATACTTGGCTAACTGTCGACGTTGTCATTCCAAAAGATTAAACAGAGTAATTTAAACTTAAGAAGCATTGTTTTATTTTGGAGTGAATAATGCCGGTCTAATAATAGAGGGTTGCAATAATTGTTTGCAAAGATAATTCATTTGGAAAAGTTTGGCCAAATCGGTTGCTTTTGGTTACAGTAATGAAGAAATAAATGGATCTGATGTTTTATGTGGCTGATGTGTAAAATGCTAGTTGAAGATTTCGTATCTCAAGAGTGCTCACATTTAGATGGATGGTGCGTAACATTGGATTTCAGATTGTAATATTGAACCTTGAATTTATTACGTACTATTGAATTTAAATTTTAAAGAACTGAACATTTTCTAATATTTTTTGTGAATGTGTGTGTTACTTTCTTGGTGTTTGAATACAGTGACATCTTAAAAATGAGAAACTTGCAAAGCTTCATTATCTTTTGGGGAAGAATGAAGGCTTCGTAAAATACTGGGTAATTTGATGAACTACTAAGTATTTTGTTGAGCTAAAGAAAGAAATCTTCATTAGTTCAGACTCAGTGCTTGTGAGGTCCTACCTATTTTGGTCAAGATTCATTAGTCTTAATATTAAAATAAAACATTCTAGAGTCTGTGCTTGCAGCTTCATGCAGTTCTTGGTTGCATCTTTGTGAGCTTGAATACACCAGTGAAATGTGTAATGTAAAGCTTGACATTATATAACCTTTGCACCATGTGTTTGAGTTGGATTCTGAATAGACTGAATGAGCTGGAGTCCTATAGGAAGTGTTGAATTATTTAGTTTCGTCCATCTTTTGAATAGTCCTGAGAAACAGTTTTTTTGTTTTGTTTTGTTTTTGTGGCATGTTGAACTATGTTGGTTTCAGAATTCTTATTCTCTGAAAGTATTAAAAACAAGAGTTGGCTTTTCTTTGTCAGGGTAGGTTCAGGCTACTTAGCCGAGGTCAAATAATGAAATTGAATAACTCCCACAATTCTCTTTTTAGCTAGGATTCTTGTCATTACCTCCTCCCCAGACAAATTTAGTCTGCACCTTGTATTACTGTTTTTTCTTTCTGACAGAAACTTAGCTATTACTACTTGTTTTAAAATTTTTTTATCAAGTTCTTAAATTTAAATTTGTAGGTTTAAAAAAAAGATAACGCTTGACTTAAAAGCTTTGAAAAGTTTAAAACCTTTATTAAGTAAGTGTCTCTTACTTGCCCCTGAATTTGTATGTTCCTTTTCTAGGTGTGAGGATATTTTATCCAAACTGCTGATTTTTCTTAGTCTCTGTATATTTTGTAAGATTCGTTTATATTAGAGTCATTGAAAGAATTTTTGTTTTTACATTTGCCATTTTATATATACTGCTTAGGGTTTTGGGTTAAAAAATAAATTAATAGTACAGCATATTATTTTTGTACTAATATCTTTAAAATATTTTTAAAGGATTGTAAACAGTGAGTGGTTGCTTAATCAGAGCATGATCCTGACCACTTTGCTCTTTAAACTAATGCTGATCATTAATCTTTTGGTAATATAAGAATTCAAGATTCAAATTCTTTTTTACATTACAGTGGAGTTACTCAAAAGTAATTAAGAATGGAAACATTTAACAAATTAACTATGATCATTTTTTAAGTATTATTTGAAAACTGGGTTAATCTTGTTTTCAGTTGGATAAGGGTTTGAGTTAAAGTATAATATCGAGTAATATATAGCATAAATATAGTAAAAGAGTATAAATATGGTAATATTATAGAGCATATTTATGGTAATAATATGCTGAATGCCTGGCGAATATTTTTAAATGCCATTATGGCTTTATTTTACTATACTTTAAAAGTTTTAAATTTATTTTTCACTTACATTTGACAACACAATATTAGTTTCAGGTGTACAACATAGTGATTAGACATTTAAAAATCTTATGAAGTGAGCACTTTGATAAGTCTATTACTCATCTGGCACCATGTATCGTTATTAAATACTATTAATGCTATTCTTTATGCTGTAATTTACATCTACGTGATTATTTTTATAACTGGCAATTTTTATTTCTTAATCCTTCACTGTTTTCACCTTTCAGGGCTGGGGAACTATTGCTAAAATACATAGTTGTTCATTTTGAAGTTATTTTTATATTTGCATGTAGATGATATGGGAAAATTATTAGGTCAGTTCTAGAGGTGGCTTTTAAAAATTGTAATATTTGGATTAATGATGTTTAAAATTATTCTGTATTATGTGTGTTTTTTGATTACTGGGATTTAAAGAGATATATTTCCAGTGCTAAAGAAAGTTAGTGTTTTGGTTACAAAAGTAACCACAGAATGTCATGCTTTGTGTTTGAAAGTTAGGTCTTTAATTTGATGAGTTTTAAAAAGTATTTTCTAGTTTGGAAAGTTGTCTTCTAAGCAGTTATAATCATTGTTGTTTACCTGGACAGAGTCTCATGCAGTTAGTACACGTTTGCTAAAATTTTGATATATACCTGGTAATAAGAGATTACAGAAAATATTTGCATATCCAGGCACACCAATTAGAGCTGCAGGAATGAATCTATCTCTACTAATAAAAGGGTAATATGCTAATTAGACCAGGAGACCTTCCAGACCTCTTTCCAGACATCCTTCCAGAAAGCCATGGTGGCGGGGCTGAGGCAGAGGCAGTTAGGGGTGAGCAGGCCAGCAGGTGGGCGCAGTTGGGGGTGAGCAGGCCAGCAGGTGGGGGCAGTTAGGGGCAAGCAGGCTGGCAGAGGGGCCAGTTGAGAATGATCAGGCTGGCAGGGGGGGCAGTTAGGGGTGATTAGACCAGAAGGGGGGGGCAGTTGGGGGCAATCAGGCTGGCAGGCAGAGTGGGGGTGATCAGGCAGGCAGGCCAGTGAATGGTTAGGAGCCAGCAGTCCTGGATTGTGAGAGGGATATCCGACTGGGATCGAGCCTAAACTGGCAGTAGGACATCCCCTGAGGGGTCCCAGATTGGAGAGGGTGCAGGCCGGGCTGAGGGATACCCCCCCAAACACGAATTTCATGCACCAGGTCACTAGTATCCTCCTATCTAATAAAAGAGTAATATGCAAATTAACTGCCAGTCCACGACAAAGATGGCGTTGCCCATAGTGGCAGGGCAGGACACTGGCGGTGTTGCCCTGGCAACACAAGCCCAGTGTCCACACCCCGGCCATGCAGTGGGAGGGGAGGGGCCTTGGGGGGAGGGACACTGGCGTCGTTGCAGGCCAGGCTGAGGGACCTCTGCCCCCCTGCCCCCCCCCCCCCCCCCGCACAGATTTCGTGCACCGAGCCTCTAGTATATATATAAAAGCCTAAGCAACTGGCTAACTGGCCAGTAGCTATGA